GGGGCTGGGCCCGCCCGCCCCGGCCTGGCCCTGCTCTCCCAGCGGCGGCCGTCAGCGACCCGAGCCGGAGCCCTTAACCCGGCAGAGTTCGGTCGCTGGTAAAGGGGCCTGGGGGCTCCTTCATCCAACAACGGGCAAAAATGGGGCTGATAATTTACAGTGCTGTCTCCGCTCCCTGGAGCAGCCTCACGGCCACCACCTGCACCTCTGCAGGAGGGATACCAAGTGTTTGAAAGCTGGTATAGTGGACAGTTTTGCTTTTCTTACACTAGACAAGGTTTCCCACAGCTAAAAGCTGCAGAGAAGGTTTTATGTGATCATATTCTCCTGTTTTTCCCTGCAGCACAGCTCCCGGGGTCTTCAGTCAGGTTGCTGCAAGCCTGAGGGAGAAAAGAGCCCATGTGAGGGTGGACAGAGCTGCAGTGGGTTGGAAGCAAGCAGAAAGGCAAGGTGGTCATGAAAACGCTACTGAGAAACAGCCAGGCCTGCAGGGTCTGAGCAAAAAGCCGCTGCTTTGCTTAAACCCCACCAGGCAGCCTCAAATACAGTACCCAAAGCTGCACCCTCAAAATGGAGTAGAGGACTTAGGTGCCCGCACGGGCATAACACTTTGAGAGTGCGAAAGCAGGAGAAGGTGTATGGAAAGATGAACACACACGCAAAAGGTCTGCAAGGAAAGCAGTTCACACCGAACCTGACCTCCTCCCAGGGCAATGCTCACAGGCGAGCTGCTGTAGCAGCTCGTCGTGTTGGCGCCCTGGCGCAGAGCCACTCTCCGAGCATTTGAAACACACCCTCGGCTTCTGAATGCATGTTTTTTGAGTCCCCAGTGCCAGAGGGGAATGGTGGTAATCCATCTAGCTTTCCTGCAGCTCCACTCCTGCTGCTCCGTGGCAGGATATCAGTCCACAGACGCCAGACTCTGGCTGCAAACACGGTTTCCTGTAACTGTTATTATTTGGGCTCAAGCAATCCAGAGGAGAGGCACGATCTGCAAATCGAACCCGTTCACCTTGCCTGGTAGAAGATCAAAAGGGGAATGGAATTGTTGGGATTTTCAAAAGCCATTGGTGCTGGCTAGCACTGCCACCTTCCCCTGCCTGCAGTCCTTATGCCATTAGATGAGGCAGACCAGGGGCCAAGAAACGTCCCCTGGAATGAATTGGCTGCTGCTCTGGAAACCTGACTCAATGTCTGTTTGGCCCTCCTTGAGTCAAAGGGACCAGATCTGGAAACCAGACAATGGGGCTAGGTGGAGTGCTACCCCTCAGCTTGGTCAGCCCATGCTCCCCCATGGTTGTGAAAGGCTTTCTAGGATTGGGATGGGCTCAGGCAGAGTTTTCTGAGGTGGGCTTTCCCCAGGGCTGGCAGCTTTTTGGGAGATGCCTTTGCTGAGTTTGCAAGCATCCTGACAGAGCAGACCCACCACCCTCCAATGGGCTCCTCCACATTCCTTCCTTGGTTTCTAACGCCAATCTACAACTGTATCCAGCTACAGAGGCTCTGTGTGACCCTCTCTGTGTCTGCTCACAGGCAGGGAAGCAGCCATATGCATCTCAGTTCCCTGTTGCTGTGCCTGATGATAGCACAAGACAGACCAGAGCAGCTTTCTAGCTGTTGCATCATCTACAGCCCTTACAGATTTAATGGGACTAGACTTAATGAGCTCCTCCAGCTGCAAAGCGTTGTGCTGGATTGCTGGCCAGCAATGAGGTCTTGTCCAGAGGAAAAAGGCATGTTAGTCCATGGGCTTTCATACACATGGCCCCTGACCAAAAGCCATAATGCCTGTGTACACAAGGGGATAGTTACTGCAAGGGACAGAAACCTTTGTACTTTAGTGCCTTCCCAGCAAGAACACAATGCCAGTTTTCAATGCTCTTAGGAGCATTGCTTAGTACAATTTTTCTTTACTATATATTTGTTTACTCATTCTGTGTCATTCGGAGCTGACTCTTCTCTCTTCTCCCATGGGTAAAGTGCAGACAGACAAGAAAGGGGAGCAGAGGATGCAGCAGTGCATGGTAGTTGTCCTCGTGGACAAAGCAGAGCCTCAGGGAGGAACAAAGTGGCAGGTAAACAGGACAGACGAAGCTGGAACGCCAGTGTCTGGATTGCTCATGATTCGAGGTTCATTCAGTTCTTGCAGCAAATGCCTCCGTTTAACCACACTATTCTCTCTCATCCACATATTTATATGTATTTATGTACTTACAGACATGCTGCAATGAAAGGCAGAAAGTTTTTACATACCATATCCCATCATACTTTCTAGCAGAAGTTTATCTCCTGAACCTCGTGGACAAAGCAGAGCCTCAGGGAGGAACAAAGTGGCAGGTAAAGGGGACAGACGAAGCTGGAACGCCAGTGTCTGGATTGCTCATGATTCGAGGTTCATTCAGTTTGCAGCAAATGCTTCCGTTTAACCACACTATTCTCTCTCATCCACATATTTATATGTATTTATGTACTTCAGACATGCTTGCAATGAAAGGCAGAAAGTTTTTACATACCATATCCCATCATACTTTCTAGCAGAAGTTTATCTCCTGAACCAGGCTTTTTTTCTCTCTTTTTTTTTTTGTTTTCCTTAAATGCACATAAAAACCAACCCATCCCAAGTTGACCTAATGAGTTCTTGTACAGGGGTGGTGTAAAGGGAGTGACTGTGATTGCTGTCTCAGCCTTGGAGATGGCCAGCACTGGAAATCCATAGGTGTTTAAGAGAAATCCCATGGAGAAATACACTATGATGTAAATCTGTATCACTCTAAGTGAGTGCAATGGGAAAACGTAAACTTGCAAACAGGTTAACATTTGGCCAAGACCTAGGAAATGCCTTTTGTGAGTCTGGAGAAATAATTTTATGTATGTCCAGCATACCTGACTGCTCCTACCAGACACCTCTTACAAGCTGAGGGCATAGGCTATGGGCAGCCCTGGCTGCTGTTCCAGCCTGCCCCACCAGGAGGTTGGACTTGATGACCTCCTGAGGTTCCTTTCAGCCTGAATTATCCCATAATCCTAATAATAATCAGCCAATGCTTCCTCTAACTGGAATAATGCTGAAGTCCATAGGCTGTTTCTGAAGACTGCAAAAGGCAGTTGCTGCTTGTTTGAGGTACACCAGGCAGATCCTCCACTGGCACAAGACAGCAGAGCTCCAGAGGAACCGGGATCTGCTGGCTCACTGTCTTGGAGCACTCTACCTCTAGAAACCTGCCCTGGCCAGGCCCACCACCAGAAGGGAGAAGCAGCCAGGGCAGGTGAGCTCACTTGGCCCCTCTTCCCTCCATGGCCAGCAGTTCATTATCTGTGGGTGGCCTTTCGGACTGCTGCACTGATCCCACCCCACTTGAAAACCAATCCACCCAGCAACTGAGGCCTGTGACTCTCTCAAGGAAAGCTTCCAGTATCTAAAAATAGCCAGTAGTCCAACACAGCCAACACACACTGACTCACTCATTAGGTAAGACCTTTTCTCCAGCTCCTAACACTGAGGCAATGAAAAAGAAAAAAGAAAAAGAAAAAAAAAACCAAGGAAAACTCCTTCTGATTCTCCGGAGGAGCCCTCAGCCATGGGCAGCTAGCTCAACCACCCCACCACATTCACTAACATTTCCCACTGCCTCTCCTGAGCAGACACATCCTCCCACTTGCCAACCTCTCCCGACCATGCTCCTCATTCTCCAAATAAAATGGGGAGTTCACCCATCCTGGCCCTATCCCACTCCTGAAAACAGGGTGCTGGATCCCCATCAAACACCACTCAGATCAGAAGGGAATCAGCCCATCTATTGGGGCACCACTAGAGAGTCCCTGCCCCACAGGACCTGGGCACGTGCCCTCCAACCTGCTCCTCTCTGCACAGCCCACCTTCCCGTGTCCCTTGCCACCAACCCCCACAGCCCAGCGGTGGTCTCCCTTCTGCGGGGTGGCAGCCCCTGTGAGCAGCATGCACTTGTAAAGCTAATAGCATGGGGTGTGGACATAACAAGGACCTGTGGCTTAACCCTTCTTTCTGCACTTTGTCACTGGGATTATTGCAAACAAGAGTTTCCATTTTCAGGGCTGTGAAAGCCCCCTCTGTGGACCTAGAAGGTCTGTCTCACCTGAACATGGTGGAGGAGAAGAGAGGGGGTAGGGGTGAACTGCTATTAACCCACTGCTTTTACTTCCTGGAATTAAGCCAGTGGTTGCATTTAGTGCCAGACTGCACAGCACAAGACTGAGAAGAGAAATACACCTCCTTCTCTCTCATTTCTGGATTAACAAGGACATCTTGAGAGTCTTGCAGGCAGGCAGGGCACTCTCTTCTGTGATTGAAAAGGACAATTATTTATACCTGGTGCTAAAACAAGTGGTTAACCCCACCACCACCACCACCACCTCCTCCAACGCCCTTTCCAGAGGCACCACCTTTTAAATCCCCCAAGGTTCCTCCCAGACCTGCCAAGCAGCAGAAGAAAGCTGCATTATGAAATACTTAGCAATTGTAACTGCTTCGGTGCCAGAGTAACAGTCAAGCTGTTCTTTAAAAAAAAAAGAAAAAGAAAGAAAGAAAAAGAAAGAGAAGAAAGAGCCACCACCTCCTCCAACGCCCTTTCCAGAGGCACCACCTTTTAAATCCCCCAAGGTTCCTC